AGACTGGGATAAAACAGAAGATTTTAAATTTAAGGAGGTATGCAAAGTACTACTACTAATAATAATACTAATAAAAACAACAGGAGGCATGCAAAAGAACAATAAAAAGACTTCGGCCTTGCTCATACCACCATCTAAATATCTAAACAAACCATAGCTCTAACGCGGTTTGGCGGTGATTATTTCAGCCCAACATCAAGCAACATGTCCAACAGTTGGAGCCCCAGAAAACACGACTTCCATATGTTTTTAAGCAGCAACATCACCAGATTCCACTGAAACACGTCTAAAAGATTCCTGATGTAGCGCTGGAGGAAGAGTCAGCTTGTTGTATTTAATGTTGTGTCACAGCATTGCTGTGGTAGAGTTGTGACTAACTGCAGAGTCACGCTGCAACATCTGCACTCATACACATCTGTGGCGGTTGGTCTGCTGTTTCTGAAAAACAGCTAAACTCATTTAAATTAGACTCATATAGCTAACTAGCATCCCCTGTGGCAGTAAATATGTTGTATACCTGCTGTTTTCATCGTCTGGTTTCTATGGTTACAGGAGGACAACGGGTTGCCGGTCCACATCAAGGGAGGAACCGGTGACATGATGCTCTACAGGGCCACCATGACGCTAACTATAGCAGGTAACAGACATTAACAACAAACAATAACCGGAGCTGTTCAACTCAACAGTAAATTATATATAAAGCTCTTCACCAAAACATTTCAACTTTCAGTCATTCATCTTCTTCCTCACATTCACAATAACTCTAAAGGAGCTTCATTTTCCACACAGAGGACCAAATATATAATATAAATAGTTCCAGTAACATGAGTCCCAGGAGTTTTATCTCTTATGAACCATCAATGAATCTCTGACTTTAAAATACAATTTTTGTTTGATTTTATAAGATAGCTACATAAATACAAATCCTAAAAATATATGAAAAAAGTACATTAGAGTAAATAAATACACTTAGTATCCTCTAATGTTTCTGTAAAAAAAAACAAATCTGAATAAAGATAATGGATAAAAATAATAATATAAAATAAGTAAGAAACAAAGAAATCCTGTCCAAACCCAGCTGTACTACACATACACACAGTAAGAACATTTAAATGTGAAATAACTCATTTATCTGTATTCTAGTAGTCTGTATTTATTTAGTTACTTTAACAACAATAAAATAAAATTATAATAAAATAATAATAATATGTAATAATATTACAGTGTGTCTCTGGGGCTGTGTAAGTGACTGCTGTAAGTTTGATAAATCACATTTTTATATTTAATATTCCCATCTTCAACACAATCGTTAACTGCCACAAAAACAGAAGGAGATGATTATGGTATCATATGAGGATCCAGTGGTTCTATGGATACCCCACAAGACACTTTCTGCTAATCCAGTATATTTGAATATTTCTGCAGACTGGGCTCCATAAAC